AGAAAATCTACATCTTCCTGCATGTCCCAGTGGTTCAACTTCCCCCTTAACCTGCCAACAGCACCTGGGTTTTCACAAACACCTTCCAGTGTCCTGCAAAGTGCATTAACTTGTGGGCAACTGAGAAATGGCTTAGAACAGAAAATATTGGGTTTTTTCAAATATAATGCCATCCCTCTAGTTACACCTGCAGAATTCAGACCTATTAGCTATAGTGCTGGCTGTACACAGAGTCTATAACGTTGGTGACGTTTCTGAGTGAGCGGTAATGCAGAAGTAAGAAAGACCAGCTTTGCTTGCTGGGCAAGATGTCTTTCAGGCTTTAGCTTATTGATTCATACAATCAATAGTATTTGATACCGCTCTCTATCTATTTCAGTTTATTGACAACCAACTGAACAGTGCACTTTGTAATGGATTTTCTAGTAACTGACAGTAAAATAGCTTCTCTTTTCTCTAACCATCTTCCCTTTGTTCTGCCATCTTTCTCCAAACTAAAATTAAGGTGTTTCATGTTTCTTTAAATCTGCAATATGAAAGCTACAAAGTTGTAAGCGGGCATCCTTCAATTAAATTAATCAGTGTTCTGTTTCCTTTGTTCTCATGAAGTCCACCGTTCGGTATTGAAAGAGAGCAACTCTTGGTGGAGGTTACTGTCATTCTGAAAAAACACAATGCAAAGAGAGTCAGAATAAAAAAAGGAAAGAACTTTTGCCTTTTTAAAAAGCAGAGCAGCTGACGAATCTTGGTTTTCTAGCCTCTAGTAGTGTCCCTACTCATCGTACCCATCTTTATTCCTGTTTGATGGTTGAGAAAAGTGCTATGCGTGCTGAGCGATGTTTACTGGCCAGCCTGCATTGTCCAGCTCAACATACATTGCCTCCAGTTTGGGGATCTGAGTTTCACCTGGTTTTCCTTCTGTAGGGGAGCTCACCTGGGCCTTTCATTTCCTCCTAACCACTGATATTTGTGAAACTTCTAAGAACTTCCTTTTCCTTCTCACCTGTATTTTTTCTTCTTGTATTTTTCCTTCTTGTTTCCTTCAAAACGAGCCAGGGGTTAAAAAATTTTGAGGAGAGATGAAAAGGGCACTGACAGACAGATGGACAGACATCATCACATAAATCTCATGTCCATAGGAAACCAGGCAATTGGAAACTCTGTGGTACAAAAATTGATGAAAAAGTAAAACCCTGGGCCTGTCTTAGTTCATTGTACGCAGCGATAGAAATACGTAGGGTCTACTGAAGTGTGTATGAAATGTCAACACAGTTATCAGGAACAGTGTGATAAACAGTCTGAGTAAGAGTCAAGGTGAAGCAAGACCTATATAGAATTCATAAACCCACTTCTCAGATATCAGTATATTTCTGGTAAATGTATTTCTTGTCCTGGCATTTCATTTTATTTTCTGGTTTACAGAGCAGCATGAAGGCAGAGGTTCTTACCCCCATCATCAACAGTGTGCTATTAGAGGTAAGGCTTCACTTTTTTCACATTAGGAAACGTTCTAGTAAAATGATTTTGAAATGAAACAGTCGCGTTTATGTCTGAAGACAGAACTGTATAAAAAGTAATGACAATATAATTCTGGCTGTTCAGTGCCAGCTCATAAACCTCCCGGTTTTGTGTTCAGCCTCTCCCACAAATACTGTAGGAGTAATACTGCATTTACTGAGGATTCTTAAGAACTGTGTGGCTGAAGTGAGGCTGGCCAACCTTTAAATTCTGCTGCTGTTTGGTCAGAGCACAGCAGACAATTTGCAGTGTCCTGTTTAGCCCTTTTCTACCTGTTCACAAGTGTCCTGGGCTAAGTCTGTTCTTGCTGTTCTGTTACCTACTTCAAATCTTGCAAAGTATTTCTCATTCACAGTTTCAGACTACTCCTTTCTTCAAAATTTGAGTTGCAGGTATGCTACAGTGCTTCCCACCCACTGGCGTTTAGATTTCTACAAAGATTCACTGTCTAGCAGCAGGCTTGGTCAGCACATGGATAACCAGGCATCAGACATGACCAAAAAAATGTTCATGACTGATTGCTTTTATTAGGCACCGTGATCTATGAGTGACCTCTTCTGTTAGACACCATGAGCTATTTTTCATCAGAAAAGCACAGTGAGTAAAATGTGCCTCAGTTTTACTGAGAAGAGAAGAGGTCAAGAGGGAATAAAATGCTCCTAAAGTACTAAAATGTGTCCTATCTGCAGCACGAATTCTTTTAACTCTGCTAATTAGATCACACTTCTCTTTAATCATAAATAAACATACAGTAGTGACTACAAATTGTCACTCTATCTGGTAGCTGTGTTCCCTTAAAAATGAGGACAAGATTGTTTTACAATAAGCAATTTTGCACTGAGTTAACAATACCTGTAAGAAAAATCATGGAAAGTTGAACAGAGCTGTAGTAAAGACTACCCTACCGTTCCTTTTGTGATAGGGCAAAGCTGCTGTTGCAGCTGACGTATCTTTCTCTGCTCCGGGAATTGCAAAATCTGGGAATGTCCAGAATTGTGGAATACGCTATTTTGTACTTCTTAAATCCCGTATTTGTATACAAATGTGTATCAGTACAGCCTAGGTTCATGGACAATTACAAGCTGCTATGCTGTTCTGTATTAGAAATTCCAAAAATAGTACTATGCATTAAGACTATTATAACAATTCAAACTGTTAATTTCAGTGACACTTCTTCCACCTACAGCAAATTCAAAATTAGTTCTGTTGAGGGAAAGACTAACTGGTTTGTATTTAAACAGTCAAATCTACTTCTGAACGCTGTGGCATTTTATTCTACTCACATTACAAACAAAACTGTCCAAGAGTTCAAACTGGGGGGAAGTCAGATTTTTATATAGTGGTTCAGGCTGTCCCTGTTAGTTGTAAACTGTTGTGATTCATCATTTTTGTTATCTACAGAGTCTAAAATCTTGTGTGGATAGATACGCTAATATAGCATGATGCAGAGGTCAAAAACAAAAGTGTATTTAAAAAGTACAGTGTAATTCCTGAAATACATGACCACTAAACTGACAAACCACATGTTTTCTCTCCCCATTAGGGTTGCAACAGTACTACTTACATTCAGGATGCTTTCCAGCTATTGCTTCCCGTTCTGCAAATTTCACATATCCAGACCAGTTGTTTGAAAGCACAAGAGTGACAGTTTCCCAGCCGTCGTCACCACGGGGCTGAGCAGAAACCACAGACCTCACGTCTTTAATGTATGCAGATAGAAGGGGTGGTGCGAGAGGCATCTGGCCACTCACTGAAGACACTAAATGCGGTTTTGCACGTACAATGTTGAACAACATTTTGAAACTCTTTCAGACTTTTAGGCTTTAGAAGTAGTTAGTAGAGTGAGTAATTTCTTTTCCATTAGAGCATATCCTTTGCATTAATTTAAACTGAAGTCTATCGATACTAGCATTGATTTAAATACAGATTCTAAATGTTGACTCTTTCAGTTGTAGACGACGTGTGAAGGAAATCACAATGTAAAGGTTTTTAAAACATTTCAGCCCAAATGCCCTTTTCCATTGTTTGCACCCTAAGTGCCAGTTAAAAACGTGTATTTCAAAAATTGGTTTCAGTATTTAATTTTAGGCAACCTGAACAAATTATCATAGTGTTCTGCTTGTTAACTATTTTTTACAGTAGCAAATAAAAACATCATCATAATGTGTACCACTTACATAACACTTTGTGTTGCGAGACTTGTATAGTAATAGGCATTAACTTTACTAAATCAAAATTTTGGAGGATATGCATACAGAATTATACTGAAAAGAAATTTTCTGAGCCAGTTAAGAGTACGGGTAAAGCTCTCTGTTTGCTAACCCATAATTCTACATTCATTTATGTCTACTTCTTAATTCCAACAGCTGAACCACATTGCAGGCCAAAGTAATCTTTTTCGTATGCAAGAATTGGAAAATTTCCCTTCTGTTTGGCAGTTGAAACACCCCCAAATCAATCTCCTCTCAGATGCATTACCAAGTTTGGGGGTTAATTTTATGAATTTATCTTTATGAAGCTTTTTATCAGCTGGAGTTACTGATACTGGCCTGGAAAGGAAGTTGTGAAAAGAAGTCACGCTTTGGGTGGGGAGGTCGCATGTCAGCGCAATCACCTTTTCTCTGAGGCAGTAGGTAGAGGGAGCGTAACTGAGCAGCAGGGATGACGTTTCGTAACAACCCTAGCAACCGTGACAATTTGTCCGTATCCTTAGCTGAAAATCCTGAGCTATGAACCTCAGAATCTGTTCAGGCTGGTTTACCTCATAGACAGGAAGAACCTCCCAGTATCGTAGGTAGCCTGTTCTCCTGGATTGTCATTGTTTATTACATTTCTTTCAGCTATTTTGTATTTTTTTTCCTCCTAGTACACTCAATAATTTTATTTAAATGCTTTTTAATTGTAGTTGACATCTGAATATGTTTAATCATAGAAGCATAGTTCATACATTGTAAAATTAATGAAATAGAGCACGAGGAAATACTGTCCTGTTTATCAGCGATGAGAAACCATGTATCTATCTGCTTTGCACATGGTCACTTTTGTGAGTGCAAATAGGGGAGGACAGAAAGGTCTGTTTGTGTCTTACACTATTGCGGTCCCTGTTCTGCTGTCACATGCATTGTGACTTTTCCATCTTTTGTTATTTAGAGATGAAATTTTCCCTATCCCTGAAATAAGGTTTGTTACGCAAAAATCTATTTTCTGCCACCCTGTAATTTAACAGATTTGAGAGATCTTTCTAGGTAAGTAGAAGGGGTACAGTCTTCAAATCCACTTGCACAGAACATTAAAAAAAACCCTTACAGCAATGCTAACAAAAATAAGAAAGCCCCTCGGCAGCTGAAAAGGCCAACGGAGCTGACATTCCCTGGTATTTATGCCATGTTGAACAGCTAACTCTCCTGCAACATGGGAAAAAGAGGGACGCGGGAAAAGCAACTGGTAAGCAGACTCACTGGCCCAAAGGTAGGATACAGCTCCCACCAACCGTTGTATCCACAACGCTTCCGTCTGGCATTGCTTTATGTCTGAAAGCATATTTTCCAAAGTGCATTACAAAATAATGTTGAGTTGAAGCAAAACACTGCATCATACCCCATGCTTCTCTGGCTTCTGCACTCTGGGGGGAATAAACGTCCTTTCCTCTGGTAGTCTGCTCTGGCTGCTGGGAGAGACACACGCTTGTACCTACGCAACCCTGTATACACGCTTTAACCCAGCTCCTCCGCGTGGATCATCGAGGACCGTGTCCTTGCTCCATACGCTTCATCATGAGCGGTTTCCAGTTTTAAAGATCTGGACATCAGTGAAAGCATTCCGTAGCCTGTACAAAGGCCTGTTTGTTTAATGCAGGTTTTTTTCCATTGTTCTATGCTGGCAGGTGGAACACAATATCTGGTTAAAAGCTTGTTTTACTTTTCAAACAAAGACTGTCAAGAAAAGTCTAGTGTTTTCACCTATCAATCATTACATCCTGGATTTATTTTTACTTTAATTTCATCATTATTTTTCATCAAGAAGCCTTTCTGTCCACATTGGAGTGGAGCTCTGCATCAGGTACCCGGTGGCGTTACTGCCAAATGAATCACGGAACACAGCAATAGCCATTCGGCATTGTTCCTACGCTGAGTTAATGTTCTCAGGCATAAATGATTTTACTTACTTTTTCAGATGGATGTTTTGGGGGTTTTTTTAACCTGAAATGCAGCGCAGAATATACAGTGTTAAACCTGTCAGAAAAATGTGTTGACTAATAGTGGTGCCTTTTAGCAGAGGCTGAACGATAATAGTATTAGAAGCCTCAGGGGATCCTGTTTGAAACGGTTGAGGGGCATTCGTAAGACAAAGGCTGCTTGTCTGAGAGATTCCTTACCAGAGGTTTCACTGTCTTGCTTAAATTATGTATGTATTGAATAAAGTACCTTACCCTAAAGTAAAAGAAGCTATAAAAAATAACGTGTGGACTGAAAAGTATTTACATCCGTACAATGTAGGAAGGGAAGCAGGGCAGAATATGAGCATGGGGATACTCTGTCTGATCTCAGATGCAATCATCTTGTCCTAGGAAAACTGAATGTTGTATCTTTAAATCTATTTTAGGTAAATATTATTTCAGTAGAAAAGTACTATGTGGATGTAACCAGAATATTTTGTTTATGCTGGTTTGTATTTTTCCATCAGTCAAATAAATCATGTGAGATACTGAACTGAGACAGTATACAAAAAAAGAATGTTTTGAAGAATAATGTGATGGCAGGATGTATTCAGTGAAGTCTGTCACTTTCTGATCTTGTGATTTATGTTTGGAATTATGAGAGTCTGACAAAACCAGAAGCTGCCTTAAAACTTCTAAGGGAGACTGTTCTTTCTTTCATCACCACCTTTTTCCAGGTCTGGAAGTGCCTTGGCACTCGTCAGACTGCTAGGTTTTAAGTACTTACTTAAAAAATAACCTAGATTGTGAAAATTACCTGTTCTCTTGAGCAGATCTGTTTTTCAGGGCATTCCCTTCACTTTTGAGCACACCTTTTTATGCAGAGACAAAGGAAGCAGGCTTTTGCCCTCATGCAGTTGAGAAATTTATCGAGGTGAAACTTAAGGCAATGTCTGCATACCTACAGCCTTGCAGATGATCCGCTGTTACAGGACATGACTGAAGGATGAGCTGGAAGTAAACTATTAGGCAAGTCGTTTGCTGTATTTCTACATTAAAGGTATTTGCTTTTTGCTTTTTTTTTTTTTTTTTTTTTTTTTTTTTTTTTGGACATAAGCTGTTTGCTGCTTTTTAGGGTATAGTCTGTTCATGTGTAAACATCTCTTCCCCGTGATTTGTTCCTACGCTCCAGCATCCATTGCTTGAGACAGCTAAACAAAGGAACTGTCTCTTCTACTTTCCTCATGCTGCTTAGATCATCCGCTGAAGCCGTTAATATCCTTCCTCTAAAATGTGCCTCAATCATATAACACAAAATAACAGCCATTACAATTTGAGGTGCTTTTTTAATGATGTTTCCAATGTCACCCACCAGTCAGGATTCATAACAACTTCAATGAGTCTGAAACACCACAGTATTTTGAGTGACAAAGACAGATTTTTCACCTTTTTCCTGATGCACAAAAGTGGTTTTTGTCATACGAGCAGTCACCCAGCTCACAGGATTATCTTTGAGTCATTCCACTTCTATTTCAAATGACAGCCCTGTCCTTTCTGTTATTCTCAAAAGAATGTAAAGAGTGGAAAAGGACTTTCCCCAGTTCTTTTTAAAACTGTCTCAGAGCAAGGCTTAACGTGGCACCATCAGCCAGTCTGACCTACTTTGAAGTTCCTACAGTCTGACTGGAAAGCCCTCTGTACTTTAAACACTTTTTTCCTGTCTCAGGTCAACCTTTGTTGCCGAGAATATGAGGGCATAACCAGCTGCTTTTGGTGTGCAACCTGTACGTTTTCCATGCTCTGACTCCTGCCTCAGCATTCATAATATTGACGATAGCGTGCAGCTTTAGAATTAAAAAATTGACAATAAAATGTCAAAAATTGAGCTGCATTAAAAAGATGAGAAAGGGAAAATTATTTTCAAAGGGAAAAAAAAAAAGGATGTGCTCTCTGGAAATTGCGATGATTTTCAAGGTTGGATTAGAGAAAAGACCCTCTAAGAGAATTTTTCAACATTGTTCAGAATAAACAAGAGCTGGCACCTGATTAGTTCCAGCAGAACTGGAGTAATGGCACTTCTGAAGTAAAATGAAAACCTGCATGAACTTGGAGGAAGGAAGTCAAAGATAAGTACATGCAAAGAGGAAGAGCTCAAAGGAAAGCAGCCGGCTAATCTGATCACTCCAGATCTGCGGTGCTCACTCCATTGCCTGCGCCCCAAAAGTCCCTGAGAGCACATCTGCCAAGAACGTCTTATTAGTCTCCCCACTTTGACCCCCTTTTCACAGCATCCCTTTCACAGTCTTTTGAGGAGGTGCCCTCCTGGGCTCCAAGCGGGACGCTAGCTTGTCGTTCTGCCTTTCCAACGTTTTACCCAGAGTGAAACAATATTTCTTATGCGACACTACAATAATGTACAAAAGGAGTCTAAGAAAACTTGCAGCAAGGACTAATCCTAATTCTTAGTGAACTGAATTGGCTGCTGCTGAAAAGAGGAAGGCATGAAGACATGACTCAAACAAGCGTGTGCTACTTCTCTTCTGCACTACAGGGTTGATGCGTTCGAATGCTCTATGTTCTGAGTCAGACAGTGGCACCTAAATGAAAGCCAAAACACTGGGTAATTCAGACAACTTTTAAAGCACCTCCAGAAGCCCCTCCACTCATTTATTAGACTTGTAAAAATGCAGTCCTACTCCTCCTGCCTGTGCTTGTCTCAGACCCTGTATCAGCAGCTTATATGTGGCTGTTATTTAAGGTGGCCTGTGCCTTTGCTCCGGCCCCCTTACCAGTCCTGTCCCCCGTCTGTTTCACGCATTCCTGTAGCCCTTCAGTTCTGCCTTCCCCCCCAGTTTTGTTCACCCCACTCACCTCCACCTTCACATCTGCTTCCCCTGCTGGTTTCTGAGGTTCTTCCCTCCTGCCCATCTTCCTGGGCTTGAGAGGCTGCCCCGGGATGACCTTTCTCCCCTCACAGGTTGAAAAAGCCAGAGATGAAGACAAGGGGTTAAGATGACATGGGAGGGGAGAAACCAAGGGGAGAAGATGGGAAGACACCAAACCTGTTGCTTTTGGGTCCCCTTCCTTCCTCGTCCAGTATAAGGAGGTTGGACTAGAGGCTGCCTGAGGTCCCCTTCAACCTGAATTACCTTAGGATCATGGTGTTTTTTCTTACCATTCTTACCAATGTCTCCCCATTCTCCCACTGTTCCCTATAGGTTGGATCATACTTGCAAGACAAGGTAAGCTCTACTCAACAGAGATTAAAATCCCATAAAAGCCTCTTAGGTTTACCTGTTCTTGGTGTTTTTAAAGGTAACTTGAAAGATGGAACCCTCCAGGGTAGGAACACCAAACACTTGGCAACTGTGGGATAACTGTGGGTAATAAACCAGTAAGTCCCAGTGTAGCCATCCAAGGAAAAGAAAAGAGGGAGGTTACAGGCAGCAAGAATAAGAGAATTAAATTATAGGAGAAAGGAAATTAAAGTGGGGTCACAAGGAGCAGGGCTGTCCCTACCAACAAGCTCTCTGGATTACCAAAGGGCAAGAGGGATAGGTGGTGCCACCACCCGAAGCCTTTGAACACTGACTAACACAGCCTCAGCGAGTCTGCAGTGATCGGAGATAGATTTGTCTCTTCATCTGTAAGTCGCTGTTCTATAGTAAGAAGAAGAAAAAAAACCAACCAGAAACAAATTGTGACAAATAGACTGTATTAAAAAATCCATTTCTGAAAAGCTTTAAGTTATTGCCACAGATAAGCAATAAAGCCTCAAAAGCCCCCAAATCAAGAAAGTCAGTATTTTTATCTGATTTTTTTTATAAGATGGTAACACACAATAGAAACAAATGTTTCAGACTTATCCAGCTAAATATAAAAAATTCCATATGGCCTCAAATCATTCAGAAGCTAATGTTCACAACTATTCCTATTAAATCTGAACTGCTTGGTGCAGTATAATGACTGGAGAACCAATTTCAGAAAGCTTCAGGAGGGAAAAGCTATATAAATATACAGGATGGAGGTTATAAAGTATTAACGTGATGCTAAATTGCTGCATATCATATTTGCAACGGGCAGTTTACAATCTGTTCATCCTGACGGATTTAGCACAAGGGAGCCTGCAGTCCTGGCTCTGCAATTTCTGTCTCTGCCTAGTAATTGATGGTTAAATTGTACCCGCAAATAATGTGTTAGCACTGAATGAGCTTGGGACCCTGCTCAGCCCAAACAGCTCCATCACCCTCCGAGGAGCAGCAATAAATGGGAAGGAAGGAAAGTTCCAGGAGATAATGAGTCAGAATGCTAATGGCGTAAGCTAGTACAAAAGATAGAAATGCAATTTATCAAAAAGTATGAAACCCATTTGGTGTCTTAATGAGTTATTAAAAACCAATAATACTGATTTTGTGGTTTGAAGCCAAATTACTACTTTTCCACATTTTTTTCCTTATCCACTAAGATGTTGCAAAGTTTATGAAGGTCTTCCTGGTTTACTGCAGAAATTAAAATGTACTGCAGAATCCTCTCCCTCTATGATCCTCTGGCCACCTTCCTCAACAGCCAGAAATTTTAAGCATCTTAGTCACATGGAGCACTAAACAGGCTGAAAACCGTGCTTGTTTCAGAAAAGTACAGGATCGTTTCTATCTTTAAACAGCCTTTCTTGTCCTATGGAGAATACAAAATAAATTTCTTCTCAGATAGAAAATGCAACTTTTGCAAGGATTCTCTCACATCCATATGATTAAGGATAAATCCTGAATGAACTGAAAACAGATGTGAAATCTATACTCTCCTACCGAAGTTGATTCTACAGCAAAACGTTTGTCCATCATTCGTATTTTCTTAATACCAAATAGTTCTGATGACAGATGAAATGGAGCTAAAATGCATAGTTGGCATTTTCATGAAAAGATGGGTAACATAGCTCTGCAAACCGGAAATGGAGATGCTTTCGTCTGTGGTGTATGATGTGTCTTCTTTCATCCAATAGTAATCATACATTAAATGGTGACATCTGAAACTAAAGAAAATGGTATCAGAAAGGAGGTTGAAAAAGCAGTGTTTTCCAATTTATCGTAAATGTCATTCTTTTGACCTTCACAGTAAAGAATTTTCCCATTTATTGCAAAAGAAAACAACAATGTAACTAAGAGGCAGACAAAACAGAAGATACACACCAGACTGGAGCAAAAGACCTAGGAAGGATACCTGCTGACATGATGGTGGTTTAGGTACCTGCCCCCCAAGAGGATGATATAGGAACCTGAGTGAGAAGCACGGGACCTCACTCGCTTTCAGGGAGGCTTGGCAAACCAAGGGTGGGCAGAGCCAGGCGCTGCCCTGCAGAGTGGTCACTGCATCCACTAGGCTGAAGAGCGCCAGTAAGGATGTCCCCAAAGTGTCTCAACCTGGGTCTCTGCAGATTGTCTCCATCTACCCAGGGTTCAGTCTGGAACTCTCTTCTAATGGTAGGTGGTGATTGCTCTCTTTCCTTCAAACAGCTGATCAGGCTTCTTCCCTCCTGACAGCCAGATGAGGGGAGAAGAGTTTTGTGTGATACCTGCCTTCACTCCAGAATCTTTTCCACTGTGTTAGCTCCTGGACATCTCTTCATGAACTACTCCACCTGCAGCAGAGTGTTCAGAAGTAAATTTGGGTTATTAACAGGGTCTTGCTGCAGCTGAGCCAATAAACTAAATTACCCAGTTGGGAAAAAGTAAAAATAGGCCAGTCCGAGCCAGCAGCTGGACAGGAGAATTTGCAAACCTGTGCCCAGTTGCATTTCCCATACCATACTCATATACAGTAGGACAAATTTTGGAAATAATGAAACAAGAGCAGCTTTTCCCACCTTGCCAAGAGAAAAATACTTCTCAGTAATCATAGAGACTTTTGAAATTTGGACTGCAGCACCCAAAGCAGCACATGACGATGAACCTTGAAATACGAAAAAGCCCAGATCCAAATCAAGCTCATCTATAGTTTTTAGAGAACTATACAACACTGGGGGTAAAAGCACAGGGTTTCTGTACTTCTTATGCTCACACTGAGTGAAAAAGCAAATGTAGTTTTTCGCCCATTCTGGTAGTTCGTGTCACTGCAGGCCCAATAACATCTGTCTCCCTTTGCCTTTACATCCTAAGAACTGGGATAAGAAGTGTTCCTTTGGCTGTGAAATCATACTGGAAGCAGCAGCACTGAAGTGAGCTAGAAAATGACAAGTGCAGGATACGATGCATCAAAAATTGATGCCGGCTAATGGAACGGGGAGTTCAAACAGCCTGCACAGTGACCATGACAGCCCACTTCTGCAAGAAAGCAGGAGTGCTTCCCTTCAAAAACCTCCAAGTGTCTGTTTTGGAGAGGAACACATCCTGGCATGCATTTTATGCAGAACCCAGTAATTGTGCCAAGTACCCTGGAATATGCTCAGCAATCTGGTTCTGTGAGCTCTTTCGTACTGAAAGGGGTTTTCGTTTTAATGTATGATTGAGAGTTGAATCTATTACAGAAGCAGAAACAGAGGAGGAATTATCTTTCATGATATTTAAAAAAGAAATATGTAACTGAGTGACTGCATGCAGTCCTGAAAACAATTTAAAGCTGCATGTGGGCATAAATCTTTTTTCGTAGTTATCTACAGAAATTCATCAAAGCATAAAAAATGAAGTCTTACAAAAATGGCCAACTGGCAAACCCAGTATGTCAGTACTGGTAGGAACCTCTGCCTTCAGCAGCATCTCACCCAATTTTATGATGATTTTAACCACATTACTATCAGTTCTGAGCACTGAGATGATGCTTTTCAGAAAAAGTGTCAAAAGGATAATTGGAAGGATCCCAGCAATTTAAAATCACACCTACTGTTCTTTACAAATACATGCATGATTTATAAAAACAGCTTAACTGTGATCTTCCTCTGGCTCCCGAGTGTACTTGGTACGTGCCTTTGCTAGAATGTTTTGAACCACAAGTTTTACTGTTTCTCCTGCAGAATTTGTATCTTCTGTTGTTTGTGTGGGTGTCTTGCTTAAAGACAGAGAGGGATTCTTTAAAATATGAAAACATTTTTGTAAAGCCAAAAGCACATAAGGAAAAGCAGGCAAAGAATATTTTTAGTTGCCCTTTGTTTGTGCCGCTAAATTCTGCAATGACGGCATTTAAAGACCTCTGCAGGAAGGCGGCAGGGGCCTGAGCCACAGCCCAGGTAATACCCTAGGTGGACCTGCACAAAATTTTCCTGGTATTAGAACTGGACACTGCAAAATTAAATTTCTAAATTGCTATGGGAGGGTACCCTTAGAAAATGAAAGCAGTGATGATACTCTGAATGTAGCTGGAAAGGAATCAGCCTCTCACACCCTTAGTTACTGATCTCTTGTGCCAACCACCCCACACAGGAAGTTTTGTGTCCACGTGCTTTTAGATTGTAAGAGAGGAAAGGGAGCCATCAACTTCTTTTATTTTACAATTTCTGTGAAAGAGGTTTTCACCTTTTTAGCCATCTACACGCTTTCCCTGTCAGTTACCTGTCATCTACCTTGTGTTCCCATTTTATAATCCATTTCAACTGAAGATAAGATTGTGCCTTAAATTCTATATTCATGGGGAGACCAGCTTGTCTTATCTAACTATACAGCTACACTAGCACTCAGAAAGAAATACAGACCTTACATGTTCAAGGATCTCAAAGCTCTTTACAAAGAGAGATGGAAGTGTTGATGTCAAGAGGCAGCGTACTAAAATCATTGGCAGTTGCGGATGTGGAACTTCCATTAGGTTTTACGCAGCCTTTGACATGTCCACCAGTTTTAAGAGAATTAATGGGAGGCAGGACACTAAGATTGTTTCATCTTGTCCTTGGAGCGCTGACTGTCAGAGACCGATGCAGTAAACAAAGTGTTTGGGGTAATAGAGACCAATTTGCATGAATCTGATCTAACAACAGCTCAGAGCATGACACTGGACACTTTTTACAAAAAAAAAAAAATCCACAGCAGTTGGCTTTAAGACACTGAGTTTTCCTTCTTTCTTTCCTCATAAAATGTCAGTACTTCATGCAGGAACTGTCAGGTCTGTATCTGTCTCTAATTTCCCCAAATAAGAGAGAACACTGTTCTGTCCCTAGTCATTCATGAAACCCATTAATGATCCTTTTGATTCAGAGACTGCAGAGCTGCTTCCCCCTAAACAGGCAGAGGACAGGAGTGCTGTGGGAGAGGGCTCACAATTACTCTTCATGCTATGCACATGTGATTTTTATTCTGCCCTGATGACTGTAAGCATGAAGTCCACCTTTGGTATGGAAGAGGCCAGCAAGACATGCACAGCCAGTCTGCCCAGCCTCCATGTGGCCCTACCACCGGGGAAAGACAGACTGCCATGATGGCAGGACAAACACAGGGAGAAGTCACTCCTTGGGACAGGCTTTCTTAAGCCTCTAAGAGCAAGCTGAGCCAAACCTTCCCTACATAACAATAAATTCAGGGCTAAACCATAAGCAAAATCATCTTGCTGAATGCTCTAACACCTTCAGATGGGCTGCTTACCATATACATGGGTGTTTTAATGGGCATGGCGATTTGACTCTTATTTGCCCACTTTTATTTCTTACTCTAATAATTCTTTGCCCCCACTGTTTTCAGAGAATGGCCATCGAACCAAGTATGTTCAGAAATGTTAGTCCTCTCATTGTTCCACATGCTGCATTTTTTTAAGTTAAGGTAGCTAGTAGCCTCGCTTCAATATATAAATTCTGTGTTTATCCTTCTGGTCTGCTCTCCCAGCTTTCTTGCTATCAGTCCAGCTTCTTGTTTCTGTCTTTTCATCTGTCACAGAAGAGAGTATTCGCTTAAAAAAAAAAAAAAGCAGACCCAGATATACATCCCACAGCATTTTAGAGCTGCTAAAAATAATAGCTGATGCAAGCAGTGCTTTTAAAGTTAAAAGTACTACACTATCTCTGTTTTAGCTGAGGATAAACAGTTATTTCCATGGTGCAAATTAGTAATGGGATGTCATCGGCAGAGACTGAAAAAGTTTGGTCTCCAGAGCGTGCTGTCCCCTGAACAGCATTGCCTCTGAATGCAAATATTTGCCCTGAATAAAATATTCATGCTTCCTATCTAAATAAATGGCAGCCCTGAAATTTACAGTAATTTTGACAGCACAAAGGAAATACATCTAGAGCTGTCATATGTAAAGAGAGGATTGTCTTAAAGAAATTGAGAGACTTGGCTCACTTGTTTTTTCCTTAGCAGTTGCAAATATGGTGGTTTAATGAAAGATGGCAGAAACAGAGGAGGATTCTCAACTTCAGCACTCAAACGTAATCATAATAGTTACCATGAAAATACACAGAGACATGAAGCGACCTATGCTGAAAAGATTCCCCTTTGGCAAAGGTACGAGTGCAGAAGTTGGTACATTTTTTATTAGCTGAATTAGCTGTCAGTGTGATAGTAACCAATGAACAGTACGGAATGGAGCATGTGCATGCACCTTTCTGCACACACACAAATATAGATATACACACACATGGGATGTAAGTATATTGATAAACATGACCATGCACATGTGTGGCTATGTGCTTATCAATATACTTACATTCTATGATCAATAGTATTGTCTTAAATATAAAGATGTTAAAAAGACAATTAAAAAAACATAAAAAGAAACATGTCTTTTTCTGATGTAAAAAGAAAAATTCAGCAGAAAGTAGCAGTGTGTCATTGATTATTGATCTCTCTCTGTCTATTAACAAGACAAATGCTTCCCTGGCGCAGACGGAACAATAAGCAAATAATATGCCTTATACTTTGCTCTCCTGTCCAATCTGGATTTTAACTTACTAAATCTCTGTGGCTAAAAACAATGTTGTCAAGCCTTTCATCTTTCCATGTGCTGGGTTAAGGGCCACTGCTGAGGACATCAGCAGGTTCTCCAGCTCAGCAGCAATAACGACAGTGGTAAGAATGAGCCTTGCTTTTCCATTTCCTCCTCCTTAGAGCTGCTGCTGTACCTGCCACACATACGGTGCAGCTAGCCTCCTTGCATAAAAGGCAGATAAGCACTCTGTGCTGTGGTTAATGCTTTCTCTGAGTGCAGCTTCAGCTAGCTGGAAATGAGGAAAAGCATAACTCAAAAGTGGTTTGCCTGTCCTTGTCTTGCCTGTTTGATCCAGGGTAACTGGATCAAATCCAGATCAGCTGTAACTCTTACCAAGCGGCCTGAAGCCAGATTTGAAGGGGAGAAGGGCAGATGTAAGCACTATCACTGCCGGAGCTCCCTCCAGTTTCTAGTTCAGGCTAGAACCCTTCCTTGTTTGTGGCTGTTGTATCAGTGGGCTGAAATGCATGTGCCTCAGGGGAGCAACTGATAGCGTGACACAAAGATGATGCTTTTTGATCAAGAAGCTCCTGGTACACACTTCTTACCTCCAGCCAACCTCCTTCTTAAGAAAAAACCAGGTTGCATCAACAGGTTGATGGAGTGTCTAACTGTCTCTGTCAATTCTGGGAATTTAATCATCCTGGGTTTTTTCAGTCAGTCTCAGTACCCAGCTGTTCATGTGCACCACTTCTAATGCAGCCAGCTCCTCCCTGTTGAGCAAACTAATCTTTAGCAGCATTCTAGAGACTTTGTAGAGACAGCCCTAGCACTCATGAGAAAAGCAGACCACAATCTCCTTCCACAGCCTAAGTAACCAAAAGGACTTCTAGCTAGCAAGCTTTCCTGTAACTGCAACAACGTTAGCTGCTGAAACACCCACAAACACAAGCAGTAATGAGTTGAATCTGACCTTATCAGATGAAGGGGGAAGTGTTTCGTTGCAGGAAGTGAAGCAAAACTAAAGCAGAAAGTACTTTTGTTATTTTCACAGAGTATTTAGCTTTGAGAGAGTATTCCTTTGAGAAATGTTATTCAAAACCTAATGTGATGAAAGGCAAGATCTAGATCTAGGTTCTTGTCTCTCCAGCCACACCCTTTAATGATCTTTCCACACACAATGTCATATTACATTGCAATTTCACGTATTCAGCATTAATCCCACATATCACACCCAGCTTTCACCTCACTGTCAGCAGTTCTTCTGACAAGACTGCATTATGACCTGGAAAGCAAGCCTGCTTCTATACAGCGCAGCACTGGAAGAAGGTATTTCAAGTTTCTCAAGCTACCTCATCTTTTTCTTTCAGTCACTGACACAGAGATTAAGGAAAGGGGTAACTTCATCCCAAACTGTCCTGGATCTCATATATTGTCTCAGAGAGCAATCAAAGATCTGCAAAGTTGTTCCATCTCTTCTTATGGCCCTTCAACACGTACCACTTAAGATAATGAAAGCAAAAGGAGTGCTAGCAGCTCGATCCCAATGATTACTCCCACCTCTAGGAACACAAAAGTTAAATTTGTATGGGAATGGGCCATGACTTATTTTCCTGCTTCTAAATGATTTGTTTTGCTGAATCAACATCCTGGAAGAACAAGGCATGCTACTGATAAGCCATAATACTGTATAAATGAAGGCACTGAATACTAGTGAGCACCCCCTTAGCAACACATCCTATTAAAACCTTAGACATGTATTATTTTTAACCTGAAAGCAAATGCTCTCACATGAAACAATTAAGGTGGGCAGGTACATGGCAGACAGGGATTTAGGAAGATAAAGCTTTACCTGAGAGACACCTGACAGGTATCAGAAAAAGAAAAGGTCTAGAACTGAAGTGGTTGGGAGGAGTCCCTGGAGAAAGGAAGAAGCTGCCCTACAGAAAGGCTGATGGGGCTCTGGGAAAGGGCCTGCTCACTCAGCAAAAGCTTGTGACCTCCAGACAGCAAACAGCTGAACTCTGATGATCTGACAACTGCTCTCATCTGTCACAAGCTTCCCTAATCATGTTATCTTTTTCTGCCTCCCGATATCCTCATGTTAGAATAGAAATAATGACAACTTTTCACCTTTGTAAGTCCTCTTAAGATCTATGGATGGGAATCACTTAAAAAGTGGTAAGTATTTTTAATTACTATAATATGCTATCCCGTAACCCAGATATTCTCTCTCAAAAGCTGAACAATAATCTAGCTCAATTACTAATTTATTATGGCAGTACTTAATTTTTTGTCAGCAATGCTGTTTAAAATTTCTTCTTTAGCTCTGCTCTCAACATACATCTTTGTTTATGGTTCCACATGAGGCACAAAAATCAAACTGTTCTTCAGTACATCAATTTTTTTAACACATTAAAAAGATAGCATGACATGATATTGAGTTTTCAATAAAACTCCATCCAATTTAAATAGACATGAAGAAGGACCTTCTTAAGCTTTTAACCTAAAAGATTCACCATAAACAGTAATATAATCTGTGCAAGTAGCCATAGCCTTATTTATGCAATTGATACATTAGTCCCTAGTACTTATTCAAGTAGCATCTGTTCCATTTCTAGGCATTACAAGTATTGCCAGGAAGAGGTGTCTCTTAGTGCACATTTCTTTTCAGACTCATTTCCTTACATCTGGACTTCCTGAAACCAGTAGTGGAGTACAAGGGCTGGAGAAAGTTAGATAGTGGGAGACTAGTTTTAGTTCCAAGCTGAAACCTACTTCTTGTCACTCCTTCTGACTGGTGTAATAACAACAGAGCAATTTATTTCTTTTGTTTGGGGAATCTGATCAGCAAACTATTTATTTCAAACATGTGATTCTCTTCAGAGAGCATTTGTGAATTGCTTCTTTCCTCTGCCCTTGTCATAAACAAATGTCAACCATAATGCTGAAGTTCAGGACACAATATTCTACACCAGAAAAATAGTGTCAGAGTTTGCACTGGGGCCTTCAGGGACACACAGGGTTTAAAAGGCTAACTCATTACTTTATAGATGACTCCTGGTAGCAGAAGGAAAATTGATTTTATTTCCCTGCACATAGGTCTCAAAAAAACACATTTTCCAGTATGTCATCTCATATATACTTGGCTAGAAGAAGTAGTAATTTGTTTTGAGCAGACATTGCATGCTATTAATTCTAAAAATATGAGGCAAACCAGAAAAATCAGAGTTGTAAGATATTTACCCACCTTCTACAGTTGATGCATCCACATGACAATGCTCTTGTTCAGGAATTATGGGCAGTATCTTTGTGGTCTGTGCAGTAAGTGGAATCTGTTGTTCGCTGGTTTTCACTCCTGACAGTTAAAGTAATTTTTATCAATATTATTAAACAGCAAACACATCTGCAGAGTGTTAAACATTGAATCTGCAAGTTTGGAAGTAACTGAGACCTATCTGAACACAAGGCTGAGACAGCCAGCCAGTTTTGCAGGGGGGTTTCAGTGCCTAGAGGTGCAGTCACATGTCAGGAACTCCTGAAAGTAGCAACCATGTTTAGTATTTAACTTCCTCTTGATACTAGTGGGACTACAACATGCTGATCCTAAGTCACCCTGGGAAACAGCTCCAAGGTAGGCAACTAAATTGATCTTAGAAATTTTACTAGTAGTGAAAATATAAAAGAATGCAAATTTGGGTTTAACTAAGAGTCTCCTAAAACTCAAAACCCTACAGTTGCCCAGTTAAGCAGAAACAACTGAAATTTAGAGCATGAACCTTCTGATTTGTTTTCACATAAGGGCAGCCCAGATTGCCACTCAAGAACAGGGGATGTGACCTCAGCTAACTTCTCACTGTCCTGGTTTCGGCTGGGACAGAGTTAATTTTCTTCCTAGTAAGTAGCTGGTATGGTGCTGTGTTTTGGATTTAGTGCTAGAAGAATGTTGCTAACACACTGATGTTTTGGTTGTTGCTAAGTAGTGCTTAGACTGGCCAAGGACTTCTGAGCTCTCAGCTCTGCCAGGTGCACGAGAGGCTGGGAGGGGACACAGCCAGGACAGCTGACCCAAACTGACCAAAGGGCTATTCCAGACCATATGATGTCATGCTCACTATATAAGCTGGGGGAAGAAGAAGGAAGGGGGGGATGTTCAGAGCGATGGTATTTGTCTTCCCAAGTCACCATTACACGTGATGGAGCCCTACTTTCCTGGAGATGGCTGAGCACCTGCCTGCCCATGGGAAGCAGGGAATGAATTCCTTGCTTTGCTTTGCTTGCGTGCACGGCTTTTGCTTTCCCTAATAAACTGTCTTTATCACAACCCATGAGCTTTCTCACTTCTACTCCTCTGATTCTCTCCCCCATCCCATTGCGGGGGGACTGAGCGAGCGGCTGGGTGGTGCTTAGTTGTCAGCCGGGGTTAAACCACGACAGTCACATACACAGGGAAAGCTACTGGGTATCATCCAGTTGTTAACAAAGATGACAGCATGCATCTCAGAAGCAGGGAAAGGCATGGTGATGCCTTTAGCACACTGGCAACACAGATACTGATATGATATCTTATGCGGATACAGATAAAATAATGCAGAAATAGCATTGTCAGGCTAATGAAGTCAGAGTTGTTGATAATAACGCATTTTTCAAAGAACTACCATAGAACACAAATAGTATCTTAGGTTCATCCTGTCCCTGACCATAACTTCTGTAAACCTACAAATGGGTTTTCTACTGAGTTCATAACAAGAGGATGAACCGTGTCACTTATATGTAGCTACATCCCTTCTCCACTTATTGTATCATTTGGGCTTTTGTCTTTACAAATGCAATTATAAAGTGGAGTTTTGATCTCGGTAATAAAGCAACTAAACAATGAAAAGCAAAGTGAAAATAAAACTGGGGTAGTTTTAAAAATAGCAATGGATCTTGTTTCACACTCAGGATGAACCTGGGGAGAATGGGAATGAAGGCTGATTATCCCTTCAGAGCCTGCGTGTAACACTGTCCTGCATGCATGCAAACTGAGCAGAGAAACAGCCCCTTGCGCATCAGTGCTCTACTGAAAGCATACAGGGGCTATGAAAAGCTCCCTAAAATTACCTGCATCCTATAGATTTTATCCTCCTTTCTGAAACATAAAATAAGACCCAAAGCAGTAATAAGGCTTCACATTTTTCTCTGGAAATGTTGTGTCTTAGAAACACATATGTAAGTCTGTGTTAAATACCGAATACTGTGACAAACCTTGCTTCTCCCAGCATTACTCATCTAAGCTGGAGAAGAAAAGACAACTACTCAGCTATGTCAGGAACTGAGAAGGATCAGAATCAAATAGGTGATGCTTCACTTAGACAAGATTAAAGAAATTTCTCCTTTCTTGGCTTTGCATCTATTTGCTGCTGCAGAAGATGTCTCTCGCCTGTCCTGTTTGCTTAAAAAAAAAAAAAAAAAAAAATATTGGAAAAAAAAAGGAAAGGGTGTGCAGAATCCCCCAGGAACTGAGAAGGATCAGAATCAAATAGGTGATGCTTCACTTAGACAAGATTAAAGAAATTTCTCCTTTCTTGGCTTTGCATCTATTTGCTGCTGCAGAAGATGTCTCTCGCCTGTCCTGTTTGCTTAAAAAAAAAAAAAAAAAAAAGTATTGCAGAATACAAGGAGAAGTGAGTCTGAATTCACTGGGATGCCAGCCCTGACACTACTGAGCCAACATTTGCTTCTATTTCCAACCTGTCAACTAACCTGAAGCTGTAGCAGTACATCAAAGAAATGGCAGAATTTTGCCTATTTCCTCTAATCTTGTAGGAGAGGAACTATTATTTTAATAGGATAGCACAGGAAACAATACAGGAATTCAAATGACTGAGAGGAAATTGGTCTTATTGTTTCTCATGTGCAAATTACAGCTGTCAAGCCCACTTATATCAAATGCTTTGGATGTCACAAAATCTAAACAGTCCAAAAAACAACTGCAGGCCAGAAACCCTGGGGTTTTATTCTCTGAGTCCTGGTTGTCACCACGATCCTACAACATCCTTCTTTCAGGATGCGTTATAAAATTCCCATCCATCAGAATTAACTTTGCATTACTGTGAGACAGTCAAGTCAATCAGGGGATCCTGTATTTGTACCCTAAAATTTAATGAGCCAAACTGTGACTCTGTGAGCCAATGGAGTATCACTGAAAATGAGAGAAGTATACCATTTGAGCAATGTAGAATGAGGCCTTATGTTTGAACTACAGTTGCCCACACAGACTGTAGACTAATAACAGGATGCTATTAACAGCATGATTCCCTGTCTGCACAGTCCCATTCTAGCCTAGGAATGGGAACAGGCCTTTTTTCCGATAGACCTTATGCTGCTTTCAAAACAGGACAAAAATAAACAAGGAATGTAATTCAGGAACGTAATTCTTATGCTAGGAAAAGAAGGTCTAAATGTGAATTTATAGTGGTAGACTTCTAGTAATATAAATTCACATTTAAGTATAACCCACATAATTATACTGATGAAACTTCCCGTACAAAAAGACCCTGCTAGGCAGATGCAGTCTAGGTATTAAATGCCATGATTTATGCAAGCTGTTTCCTGCGCAACTTTTTTTTTTTTTTTTAATAACATAGTGCACAGATCACACACACTGGCCTGCTCCCAACAAGTAATTCTGTGCCATGTCCTCAGGCTTATTTTTTTTAGGATACAGCTATATGAGAATACTTACACTTAATCAGTTACTGGTAGTGGAAAAGGTACTACAGTGGTTTAGGGAAAGTGGGCTAAAGGAAAGGTACAACAATGGGGTAAGTATAGCTGCCTTCCCTTTCTCTGGAACTGAGGCTGATTTAGGCAGTAAGCTGCACATGACAGTTTAGCAGTTTCTATCTACCTGAGTTCTTTTAAAACACTGTGGGGAATACTGTCTAGTCCTTCTAATTGCTATTATTAATTTATTACGTTGTTCCAAAACCTCTTCTACTCCCTCTTCAATTTGAGAAAGCTCCTCAAAGAAATTCTTGCAAATAAAAGTCTCTTATGTGGGAATCTCCCTAAGATTCCCTGTCATGAACACAAAGCAAGGAATTGACTTTTCTTCTATGGATTATTTTCCATGTGCTACTACTATCAAGTCCTATTTGATATGAAAAAATGCTCTGTGTCTGGAAATACAGACCAACCACTT